GCTCATTTCTCGGAGGCAAAATGAGCAAGAACGCTCATTTGTACATCATTCTAGACAGAAATAAATGGCCTTTTTAGAAAGTGAACCATCGATAATGAAATGTTGGCAGTTTTCTCAAAAAATGCTTGAATTCAAGAAGTTTTAGATTTGCGTGGTATTTTTTTGAGTTGCAAAATCCCCTTGAACATCACGCTGCTTTTTTCGAAGTTTCTCAAGAACCATTCGAGCCAGAGAATTCATTTTGGCATCGTTAGATAGAGAATTAAATGGGGGGGGTCACGACCCCCATGACCCACCCCCCCGTGGATCCGCCCTTGGTAAAAAGACAATTTTCTAATTTTTTTTGTTCTATAAATGTTGGTCTGTTTGGTAAAGAAACAAGCTCTCAAGCCGATTGTTAGAAGTTCAAATGTTCCGCAGGGGCGGATTTAAGATCTACGAGGCCCGGGACTGAAATGGATATGGGGCCCACTTGAGGGCAGCAAAATGTGAACATTTTTTGAATATTCAGAGTTGCTGGGCCCTCTCAGCAGCCCCTGCAAGCCCTTCTGTAAATCCGCCCCTGATTTTCCGTTGGGGAGATTTCAAGTCCTTAGAATCTTGCTTGGGAGGCTTATTCCTTACCCAAACAGAGCAATATCGGTAAAAAGCGACGCGGAATCTGCTTGTGTGGACAATTTAGCCGGAATTCGCTTTAAACGTCTCATTATTTGCCGAATTCACATGAATGCACAGTAGGAAATTTAGTGAGAAAATTAACTTACTCGAAAGCTGATTCTTCAAGCGTGAGGAAGAGCTGGAAATTCTGGATGTTCTCGGATTCAAATTAAAGAAATTAACATAATAAATCAAGCTGTCAGTAGAAATTGTCAACTGTGATTGACAAGGTTCAGCACCGGTATTGGCGTCGCCCTCTAGCGGAAGTCGTCACATGCAGGTCACATAATCGGCATTCATTCATCATTTTTTAGCGAATAATTATTACTTGTGCATCTGTTTCATTTGTAACAAAAACTGGAATTTCTGCCGGTTTTTCGGATTGAAATCGGAGAAATACGGACACAATAAATCAATCTGTCAGTGAAAATCGTCGAATGCGTCTGACAATGTTCAAAAGGCGGCGCACTCTAGGGGAGGTTGTTCAAAACAAGCTCTATTCTTCCACCATTTTATAATCGCGATTCATCTCTTGCCTACTACGAACACGATTCACAGATGACGCTAGAGCAGGGTGTTTGGCTGCGACATTGACTTTGACAAACGTTTTCCAGATATGACGTTTGTTTAATAATTTCCAACTAAAAATCCCATCATTCGCAATTTAAAGTCTTTGAAACCCAAATAAACACACTTGCAATGAAATGTCGTTGCGAGGAAAAGTCCTAGGATTAGTTGAGGTGCTGTTGCGGGTGCCGCCAATATTCGTGCTCGATGAGATCTTCAAATTGGGCACCGAATTCATCTACGGAGAAATAACCCCTAACGAATTCGATAGTTTTGGGGGCCAATACGACCATCGGGAGAATGCCAACGAAACGGCTTTTTTACTCTTTGATCCCACCATGTCGAAATTCATCTTTAGAACGGTGGTCAACGTGGTGGTTGGTGCTATAGGTGAGTGACTTTTTTTTGTAAATCATCCTCCTACATTGTCACATATGTGTTTGTTATGGTAATGATTATGCAAATGGATCGAGCCAGACTTTGGCTCAGTGGTTTTCACGGAACAGCTGCCACCACCAGCTATGAGCTGGTCAGCTGCAAAAAACTTCCTTGAACGCCAGTCAATCGCGCCATTGAAACTCCCTTTTTTCCCCCAAGAATAGCAGATAAAGTGGGTTCATGATGTTGTCTTGCAGCTTATCAAAGTCATGTTGCTGAAAAATATCTACGAGAATCAAGAGTAATGATGAGTCTTCAATTTTTCCTCTATAAACATTCATTGCTAGTTAATCCACAGCCTGCAGGCATCAGGGTTCTAACAAAAGTTGATCGTTTATCTGGCCTGTTGTATTACGCAAATGGTATCAGTATTTAAGTGGGTATTTCGCGTAAAGGTGTCCCAAGATTAAAACATATTTTCTTTCCACCCTCTGAGGATTCACTGTGATCATAACTTATTTCAACCCTGATTGCTTTTAACCGTCCACTTGTCTATAAATATCACCATGGCACGTGAAGATTCCGATTAAAAACACTTTATTTTCGAAACTAACATGTTTACCCAGACATACTTGTTCCCTTAAAGCAGAAAAATTGGAACAATTGCTCAGGAAATATTCCCGGGTGTAAATAATTGTGCATGTTTCTACGCTTTGCCATCTCCAAGCGAAACTACTTACGTAAAGTCGTTTGTGCACGCCGACCTTATGCTTCTTTGGACCAAATTTAAGACAAAAACCCTGTTAATAATAATATTTGGATCCAATCGATCTCTTCTTTGAATGATGGAACTGTCGCCCAATCGCTTAAGAACAGTGGGACATTTACGGAATCTTCTAACTGGTATATTCAGCCAAGGGCGGATCCAGGGGGGGGATGCCAAAACGATGCCAAAAACGATGCCAAAACGAATTCTGTGGCTCGAATGGTTCTTGAGAAACTTCGAAAAAAGCAGCGTCATGTTCAAGTGGATTTTGC